CCCAGACAGGGACGGCCTCCCGGAGGGCCGCAGCCCTCATCCCAGGTGGGGTGGCTGCCGTCTGCGCATCAGACCACATCCCAGGCTTTTCTGCTGTCCGGCCAACGAACGCCCTTCATAGTGACACATCCAGCCCGGGCCCGCACATGGCGCTGAGCCTCCGGGTCTGTCTGGTCTCCATCGGTCCAAAACGCCCCTGGGCCGCTCACTGACCACAGGACCCTGACCTCTGCGGCGCTCTGGGCCCGTCCAAAGTCCCTCTGTGTGGGTGTCCGAGGCTCCGTCTCGGTCACATGCAGGCTGCCCCCTTTGGCAGGAGAGCCACAGATGTGACGTGTGGGGCGGGGACTGTGATGCCAGTGTTTGCCTGCGTCTCCCTGGGGCCTCGCTCTCCTTCCCGCTGTGATTTGAGGGGGCTTTGTGGGAGCAACTTTAAACCATGCAAGTGGTCCAGCTCCCATCAAGCTTTCAACTTATGAATATGTTTACTTTAAAAAACAGCCCTGGCTGGTGTGGCTCAGTGGATCGAGCACCCGCCTGTGAACCGAAGGATGCCGGTTTGATTCCCAGTCAGGGCGAGTGTCTGGGTTGTGGCCTGGGTCCCCAGTAGGGGGCGTGTACGAGTGGGACTCTATCGAGTGTCCATGTTTCTCTCCCTTTTCTTCTCCCTCCCTTCTCTCCAAAAGTAAATAAATAAAATCTGTAAATTAGACGTGTGTGGATTTGTGGTTTCCTATTTTATGCCCCGGTTATAATCCATGAGCAGTGTAGTGACCTCTGACTGCCTGTGGGGACCCCGAGGGGGCCTCTGTGTCCTTCTGACCCCTCCCTGTCATACTTTAAGACCTCCCGGACGTCCTGGCACAGTGACAGGTCCCAGACCTGTCGTGGACTCTCCCTGCCCACGCCCTGGGACCAGCCATTTCTCTAAGGAGCTCCGGTTCCTTTTAGCAGAAGGCGGAATTTAGAAAACAAGGCGTGGGCCCCTAGGGGACTCCCTGCCGCAGGGGTGTCAGCTCGAGCTGGGCAGGGCCCTGGACGGTGCAGAGGCCCCTGGGAACACACCCACACCTGTAGCTCTTCTATTTGCTTACAGACATTAACCTGCATTCACTGTGAATTCCGACCCCGCGCAGGACGGACCCCGCATCCCTTCCCGCACGAGCCTCTGTCTGGGCCGGTAGAGACCCTACGCCCCTCACCTGCCCTGCGCTGCCTCTGCTGCTCAGCCGGTCTCCCTGCTCCGGTGGCTGTCCCCTCCCCCGCTGGGCCCCACAGTCGGGCTCCAGGAGCCTGTGCCCTGCCTGCCCCGCCCCAGCCACTCGCCCTGGGATGGTCCCCCCAGTAAGCTGTGTGCACCCATCTCTGTGTCGAAGCCACACTCAGTGGAACAAAAGTGAAGACAAAAGTCTTTTCTAAATTTTTATTGAGATCATGTTTCTTGAGAATTTTTTTTCAAATTTAAAGTTTGAATACGGTAGGTAATTTATTAAGATTTTATTTTCAGAGAGAGGGGAAGGGAGGCAGAGAGAGAGAGAGAGAGAGAGAGAGAGAGATGGATCAGCTGCCTCTCGAGCGCCCCCAACCGGGGGACCTGACCTACAACCCAGGCACGTGCCCTGACTGGGAACCGAGCCGGCGACCTTTCGGTTGGTGGACTGGTGCTCAGTCCACTGAGCCACCACAGCCAGGGTTTAAGGCGACGCCTTAGCACTTTCTAGACGGTGGTGGTTTGCACCCAGCCGCAACCAGGTGCTCCTTCTGCTCCCCACGGAGCAGGTCCTCGGGGCAGCGGGGAGCCGGGACTCAGACCTGTCCACCCAGCGCAAGCTGTCGGGATCTCTCTGAACGGCCCGCCGATCTGAGCCTCGCTGCCCATTTCTCTGCTGCACCTGAAGCTCCTCCCGAGGCAAAGGGCCGCCGTTGCCCCCAGCACCCTCACTTCTGTGGTCTGGGAGCGTGGCCGGCTCCAGGACCACAGCCCTGGGGCCCCGGGAGCCTCGTCAGGGCCTCCAGGGTCTGGCTCTGTCACCTGTCTTCTCTGTTCCATGCCCGTCTCCGGAGGAGGTAGAAGCCATGCAGGGAGAACTCAACTGGTCCCAGAACCTGGCTCATGCCCGCAGGGTGTAAGCTCCGTGTGCTTATCGGGTGAGTGAACGCAGGCTTGACCTGCTGCCCACAGCCATCAGCTGGGCAAGGGCTGGGTCCCTGCCTCAGCCCCCAAGTTGACTGCGGCCGTGCCTGCACCCTGGGCCCCCCCGCCTGCCGGCATAGTGCCTGGCCCGCGGTCAAGGGACAGTGGGAGATGTGGGCCACAGGCCAGAGTAGCTGCCGCGAGGAAGGCCAGGAGGCGGGAAGCAGCACCCCCACAAGGCTCAGGCTCAGAAGCAGGCTGGGCCTGGCCGGCTCAGTACTGACACCCAGTCCTGGGCGGGCGGCGAGGGCTTGGCTGCTCCCAGAAACTCCAGCATCTTACAGAAGGAGGCCTCAACTCCTACCGAGGTACAGAAGTTCCTGAGAGCCGCTGACCTCCCTTTCTGCACCTCAAGGCGCCCCCACCCTCCCTGTCCCCCACCACACCCTCTGGAAGCCACGCTGGCTTCGTTCTGGATTCTGTGGCTGTGCGGACGTGTTGGCCTTTGGCCGGGCTCTTCCTGGGACCTCTTCTCAGAGCTGCACAAAGCCAGGAGGTGCAGAGGGGAGGGGAGTGGCAGAGCCAGCACGCCCGCTGGGGCGGGGGGACGTGCCTGGTGGCCGAAGGAACAGGAGGGATTTCTCCAGCAGCCAGAAGCCCTTGCTGGGCGGTACTCTGCTCACTCACCCACCAGCCACCTTCTTTCAGTGACAGCCCCCCCCCCCAGGTTGTACCAGGTTCAAATCCACGTGGAAAGAGCTGAGGCTCTCAGGAGAAATACAAACATTTCTCGCCCAAGTGTGAACCAAGAAAATTATTTCTGAGCACAAGCAAATCCCTTTTCTTTGGTTTTTAAATGCTCCTTCCCTGGTCTTCTCAGGTTGGAGCACAGAGAAGCCCTGCGTGGGGGCTGCTGCACACTGGGGGCCTGGGAGTGACGACAAGCACAGATGGTTCCCAAGGCACAGGTGACAGCGGGGGCAGGACTCATGTCCATCTGTGGTGGGCAGTGGTCAGGCTTTCACACACAGAGCGCCGTGTGGAATCTCAGACCCCTGCCCCACTCCCGCCCCCACCCCTGCCTGTGTCTCAGCTCTGAGGGTGTGTGGTCGCCTCCGGTCCCCCTCCACCCTGGTGGCTTCTCCAGGCACCTGCCCGAACCTCCAGTCCCGCAGAGGTGCCCTGTCAGCTCCCTGGGCAGGCACCACCCCAGGGACCCTGGTTTGGGGTCAGTTCCAGCTTCTATTAGGGAGGCAGGAGCCGTAGGTGGCCAACTAAAGGTCACCCAGGCTGAAGTGGGTGTGGTACCATTGCCTCCGCCCAACACCACAGGTATTCCCATGTCCCCCATTGGCCGGGCTGGTGAGGGTGCCCTCAACCGGTGGAGAATAAACTGCTGCCGCCCCGCTCTCCTGGCCTGTACTTCCGTCCTCACTCAGGTTCAAAATAGCCAGGACTGTTCCCCTGATTTCAAGTCCCATCCCCAGGCCTCTGTGGGACTCTGCCTCCTCTGGAAGCCACCCAGTTTGGGTCCCTTGTCTCTCAGCAGGTACCTTCTGTGTCTTCTCCATGACACAGCCAGTGCCAGGAAGGACAGACACTGGGGTCTCACTCGGGCCACATCCTGGGGCCCGACAAAGGTTCACTGGCTTTCCGGCCTGGGAAGCTGAAGGATGAGGGTCCCGCCAGTCCCCTCCACCCGAGGCACACAGGGGCCAGGCTCCTGGGACCCAGCCTAGGCCTGGCCCTGGCAGCGACCCGGCCGGACACAGGGTACAGCGCCCTGGACGCAAGGCCGACTCTCTCTGGGCACACAGCGCCAACCCTGCAGTGGGCGGTGGGCCTGGGACAGCGGGGCGGGTGGAGGGGTGAAGCCCTGTGGGCTGTGTGGTGGGGACCCGGGTGCAGGGTCCGGACGCAGTGGGTACTGCTTGTCCATCACCCCGGGGATAGGGGCCGTCCCGCCTCGCACCTGGTGGGGGTCTTGGGACTGCGGCGGTGTGTCTGCCTCCTGTGGGGGGGTCTCCGTGGTGTTTCTACTCTAACGCGTTAGCAACCCTAGTTGTTTCATGGCGTCCTTGTCCTACGTGGGACCTTGGGTCATACTGAATGAAGTCCCCGTGGTGGATGGGACCCGGGTCGTGTTTCGTGGCGCCCCCATCGTTTCAGGGACCTAGGTCATACTGCGACATTGCCACCGTGAGTGGGGACCCCGCGGTGTGTTGCGTCCCCGTCCAGGAGGGGGTCGCGAGGCATGCGCTGGGCCCGCGTGGTGCGGTCCCGCCTGCTTCTTAGCTGGTCTGCGGTTGTGGCAGGGCCGCGTGTGGGTTTCTGGGAGCCGGCGTCGGCGGCGGTGGGACGCGAGCCCTCCCAGCGGCTCAGGAAGCGGCCCCAGCCGGAAAGGGGACCCCCGGCGCCGCCGCCGCCACCGCTGCCGCCGCCGCCACTGCCCCCGCCGAGCGGCCTTCCGGCGGGCGGGTCCAAAAGGAGCCGAGCAGGATCGAGTCCCGGGTGGGCGGGACCGAGCGGCGCCGACTCTCACACGGGTAGAACCGAGCGGAGCCGAGCGGGGCCGAGTGGGGACCGAGCCAAGCCGAGTTCCAAGAGGGTGGGTCCGAGCGGAGCCGAATCCCAGGCGGACAGGGCCGAGGTCTAGACGGACAGTCCCGAGCGTAGCCGAGCGCGGCCGAGCCTCCCGAGCGCGGCGGGAGAGAGCGCGTTCCTGGAAGAGCCGGCCGTGGGGCGGTCGCATTCCTGGCCAGCGCTGGGCTGAGGCGGACGCTCGGCCCAGACGGCGCGCGGGGCGGGGCGGCGGCGCGGGGCGGGGCGCGGGGCGGGGCGGCGCCGTGAGCTCAACGCCGGGCACTCAGTCCGAGCTGGAGCGAGCCGCCGGGAGGATGTACGCCGAGCCCCGCGCCGCCGCCGCCGCCGCGCTCTGAGGGCCCCTCACAGGCGCTCGGCCGCCCCGGAAGCCGCGCGTGCGGGGGGCGGGCGGGCGGAGGAGCCGGCGCGGGCGGCGGGGTGGGCGCGGGCCGGGCCGGGGCGGCCAGTGGCGGACGCGACGCGGCCGGCCAGCGCCGCCGGGACGAGCCGGGCGGGCGCCGCGCGGTGGGAGGAGCGGGGCGGCGGCGGCGCGCCGCGCGAGGACGGCCCGGCGGGCCCCGCGCCCGCGCCCCCGCTCCTCCCGGGCCCTTTGGCCTCGGCCACCGCGGCGATTCGCGCCTCGCGGCGCCGGCACCTGCCCGCGCGCCCCCCGCGAGCCCCGGGCCCGCGAGCGTTGGCGTTGGCGTTGGCGGCGCGCGCCGGGACATGCCCCGCGCCTAGGGCCCGGGGGGCGCGCGGGGGGACGCGCGGGGGGCCCGGGCGGCGGCGGGCGCGGCGTGGGGCGCGTGGATGTGGCGCCGGGCCCGGGCGGCGGCGGTCTCCAGCGGCGGGACCCCTTCGCCCCGCCCGCCTTCCCCTTCGCGCCCCCGGGCCAGGCCGAGGCCGCGGCCGTGATCGGCCGGGATCCGGTGGCGGGGGGAGGTCGGGGCCGGGGCCGGGGCCGCCGCCGGGGCGCGCGGGGCGGCGGCGGGGGCCGCGGGGGTCCGGGCGCGCGAGAGCGGGAGCGGCCCGGGGAGTCGGAGCGCACTATGGAGGCGGCGGCCGGCGGTCGCGGCGGCTTCCAGCCGCACCCGGGGCTGCAGAAGACGTTGGAGCAGTTCCATCTGAGCTCCATGAGCTCGTTGGGCGGCCCGGCAGCCTTCTCGGCGCGCTGGGCGCAGGAGGCCTACAAGAAGGAGAGCGTCAAGGAGGCGGGCGCGGCCACGGTGCCCGCGCCGGTGCCCGCGGCCGCCGAGCCGCCGCCCGTACTGCACCTGCCTGCCATCCAGCCGCCGCCGCCCGTGCTGCCCGGGCCCTTCTTCATGCCGTCCGATCGCTCCACCGAGCGCTGCGAGACCGTCCTGGAGGGCGAGACCATCTCATGCTTCGTGGTGGGCGGCGAGAAGCGCCTGTGCCTCCCTCAGATCCTCAACTCGGTGCTGCGCGACTTCTCGCTGCAGCAGATCAACTCGGTGTGCGATGAGCTTCACATCTACTGCTCGCGTTGCACGGCCGACCAGCTGGAGATCCTCAAAGTCATGGGCATCCTGCCCTTCTCGGCGCCCTCGTGCGGGCTCATCACCAAGACGGACGCGGAGCGCCTATGCAACGCGCTGCTGTACGGGGGCGCCTACCCGCCGCCCTGCAAGAAGGATCTGGCCGCCAGCCTGGCGCTGGGCCTGGAGCTCAGCGAGCGCAGCGTGCGCGTGTACCACGAGTGCTTCGGCAAGTGCAAGGGGCTGCTGGTGCCGGAGCTCTACAGCAGCCCCAGCGCCGCCTGCATCCAGTGCCTCGATTGCCGCCTCATGTACCCGCCACACAAGTTCGTGGTGCACTCGCACAAGGCCCTTGAGAACCGGACCTGCCACTGGGGCTTCGACTCGGCCAACTGGCGGGCCTACATCCTGCTGAGCCAGGACTACACGGGCAAGGAGGAGCAGGCGCGCCTCGGCCGCTGCCTGGACGACGTGAAGGAGAAGTTTGACTACGGCAGCAAATACAAGCGGCGGGTGCCCCGGGTGAGTGTCCCCCGGCCTCTGAGTAGGGGGGAGGGGCAGGGCTGGGGAGGGGGGTGGGGACCCTCTTTGCACAGGGTTTCTGTCTCTATGCTTCTGTGTGCTCCCACGTTGTAGGGTTTTGCTTTGTTTTAAAGAAAGTGGGATGGTTCAGAGTCCCTGTTGACAGCCTTGTAGCTCTGGAGGGAGGGCCTCCTCCTGCCCAACCTCTGGGAGCAGCCTCCTTGCCTGGCGTGGGGGCCGGAGATCCGGGGCCCCCCTGACTGGTGGAGGAGCCCTCCTGAGCCTCAGCAACTGCTCAGATAGGCCGGGGAGGGCAGGCCTCGCTCCTCCGACGCTCCTGCCAGAGCCTGGGGAAGCTAGATCTGGGCCGGGCCCAGGCAGGGGGCTGAGACCTAGGCCTTCCCAAGGCTACCCACGGGAGTGTCTGGACCGGTTAGGGGTGAAGGGCACTGCCATCACCCTGGAGCCCCCAGGCTCACAGACAGGTGCCTGCCCTCGGTGGAGGGAGCATTTGGCCAGGCGGGCCTTTTGTGCCTTGAAATTTTGGGAGACACACTAATGAACGAAGCTAGTGTTCAGGTGCTGGTGGCAGGGGGCCGAGACTTGGGGACTCCAGCTCTGTCCTTCTCCCTGGCCCTTTGGGGAGTGAATCCAGAGTCCCCCATGTGGGGTGAGGGCCCTGGGCCCCGGGCTGGATCAGCGGGCACTCGGGGTTCCGAGTTGGGATGGCCCAGGCTTGGGACTTGTTTTGGACTCGCCCATTTCCTTCTCCTTCCTTCTCCCGGAAAGGCTGGAGGGCGCTGAGGGCGGGGAGGGCTCGGCCCGGGCTCCGTTGTCTGCCGGCTGGGGTGTCTGTGACCCAGGCAGCTCCCAGGCCACCAGACACAGAAAGCAGCCTCTGAGGTCCTCACCGACTTCTCTGGCGTCTGCCCCTCCCTAGGTGTTTGCAACTTTCCTCTCAATGCCCAGGCTTCCTGCACCGCACACACAGAACACTGCCCCGGCCCAGCTATTCTGGGGAGGCCTCATTAATTCAGCCATTGCATCAAACTTCTTTTTCTGAATCTGTGAATAGAGGCTCCCGCCCGATTTTCTCCGGGCGCCCCTCCAGCAGAGTGTCAGTCTCGGGGTGGAGGAGGGGCTGGGGAAAACGAGGCCCTGCCGCCTGTGCTCGGAGAGGCCCCCTGGGGTGTGCGTGCGCCTGTGCCTGTGTTGGGGGGCTTTTCTGTCCTCGGCCAGTGCCCAGGTGGCAGCATTCTGCACTCTGGAGGGCCGCTGGGCGGGTCTGAGTGGACGGCGTGCGGTGCGGGTGCTGATGGAGAGGCTCCCAGTGGGCCCTCCGTCTCAGACGGGGAGGTGGCCCTGGGTGGCACGATGGGCCCTCCCAGTGAATCGGGGGCCCTTCTGTTTGGGGTGGCTGAGCCCTGTGTGGCTGATGTGGCCCGTGGGAGGCGGTGTGCTGGGTCGGTGGGTTGCAGCAGAACGGAGCTGGTGGACGAGGCTGTGGTGGCCACTGACCTTGCCCCACGGATAGCAGAGGGTCTTCTCAGGCGGGGTGTGTCCGTGTGTGTCCCGATCTGGGTCGCATGTATTTGTGGTCTCTTGCCTTCCTGGGTTTGGTTTTTGGTCGCAGCTGCAGACTCAGGCCCAGGCTCCCTGGCAGCAGGCCCTTCGGTTCTGGGCCAGGTGTCCTTAAGCTCAGGGAAGGCCCGGCTTGAGTCGCAGGCCCCAGCGTTGCCCGGGGAGCGGGCAGGCCAGTCCCCTGAGCCACAGTCCCTGAGACGGGGCTGGAGCACTCTCTCTCTGGTCGTTTTAGCAGAGGGCCCTCGCCACCCTCTTCCTTCAGCGGTCTCCTAGAGCTGTTCAGAAACCTCACGTGCTGATTTAAAAGAAGTTCCTCATGTGGTTGGGGTCTCCGGGCCCTCACGGTGGCAGCCTAGGCCTGGGGTCTGGCACGCCCCCTTCCAGGCCACTCGCTGTCCTGCCGGCTGCCAGTCCCTCCCCGGGCCCCTCGGCCTCGCTGCCCTGGGGGCTCTTCCTGCTGGCCTCACCCTCTTGTCCTGCTGCCTTGGCTGGGACGGCACCGTTTCGAGTTTGGGGGTGCGTGGCCCCCTTTCAGTCTTCCTAGCATAGTTGTGTGCTGGTGCGTCTACAACCCAGAGGCCCCGCGTGAGGAGGGGGTCCTGCCCCAGGGCGGGGGGACTCCCAGCCACCCAGGCCCACTTGTGCGGGAAGGAGCTGCTCCGGGCGCCCTGCTTGTCTCAGCACGCCCCTCCCGCATGTCCTGGACAGGGCATTCGCAGCGTGCGTCCAGTCTCGTCACTTCCTCCGTAGCCTGTCCTGGTGACTGACGTGCTGAGGGCGAGGACAGGCAGTGGCGAAGGGGGCGCAGAACTGCTCTGTGTGGGGCCGCGGCTCCCTGGGGCAGAGGGTTCTGGGGAGGTGGGAGTGAGCAGAACTGCGTCCCAGGTGTTGCTGGCTGAGGTGCCACCAGGTTTCCTGCTGAAGGGTCATGCGGTCAGTGTTCATGGGCCACTGCTGGTGGGAGGGGCTGGTGACCGCACGGTCTTCTGCTCGGGCTGCCTCCTCGTGGCCCAGCTGCGGTGGGCTGGTGGTTCCTGTGGCTGCCCCAGTGTGGGACTGAGTGAGGGGCAGGAGCTAGCTCTGCGCCTTGGAACCCTGTGGAGCCAGCCTGGCGCCTGCAGGCTGGTGGCCTTCCTCGGTGCCATCGCTGATGCTCCGGGGTCCCCGAGCAAGTACTCTGGGCTGTCCCCTGGCAGTTGGCAGCTGACCGTGGGTGGCCGAGGTTGTGGGCCAGGTGTGGAGCTGCCGGGGCTGTGCCCGTGCCTCACCCCGCTCCTTATGGGCCTCGTGACCGGAGCACGCCGCGCCAGCCACACTGTGCCTTGGTTTCCTCACGTGGCCGTGGCTGTCTGTCTTCTCTCTGGTGTTAGGTGTTGGTGTCGGGGGAAGGGTGCAGATGAGTCATTTTTGTGATGGGAACACGTGGCAAGGAGAGGAGGGTCTTGGTCCCCACTCGTTCCATTCGTCCTGTGCAGTCTGCTCTGTCCGTCCCCCTTGGGCTTGTCTGACGGCGTCTGGACTCGGCTGGGCTGACTTCCTAGTAGCCCAGGGCGCTGTCAGTCTCAGAGGAGGCAACAGTCTGCCCCCCCGGGTGCCGCCTGCCTGGGCGAGGCTGCTGGGTGACCAGGGCCCTCCCCTTGGGGGGTCCGCAGGTGGTGCTGTGCCCCCTGGGCCCAGACCAGGCTGTGCGTCTGAGAGCCGGGCTGCCCGGAGGCCCCGTCCAAGGCTCCGTGTCTTGGGTCTCAGACCAGAGGAGCCGAGCCTCTGTCCTTCTGACACTCGAGTTCTGCGGGGCTCTTTTCTACGGACTCGCCCCTGTCACCTGGCTGAGGCTGAGGGGGGGCTGGGGCCTGGGCGCCTGCAGCCGGGAGTCAAGTTCTCAGCACGGACATGTCCTCCCCGTGCCCCCCAGTGGCTTCCCTGCTCAGACCGCGGCATTTTCCTGACGCGGGGCCCTGGGCAGGTGTCAGCGTTGTGGAGTGTCCCGGTGCCCATGGGGAGGGACGGCGGCGTCCAGGTTCGGAGGTGGGGGTGGGGGTCGTGGGCACCCCTCTGAGGGAGGCGTGGGCAGCCCTTGGAGCGGGGGCTCCCTCCAGACGGAGTGGCGTCAGGAGCGTCCCGGCGGGTGGCGGCGCTTGCCCCTGGTCCTCAGGACTGGGCAGAGATTCAGATGGCCGGCTGTTCCTTTGTCCACTTGGTTTGTTCTGTGTGTCTGTGGGGACCCCTGGCGATTCCCTGGTTCCAGACGCTCAGCTGAGAAGGGGGGGGTACCACCTGGGGTCCTGCTTCGAGGTGAGGCCCTGCCCTGTGAAGGCCCAGAAGCCGTGGCAAGGCCTGTGCCCCGCGCCCCGCGGCGGGCCGTGCGACTGGGGTCCGTCTGCAGTGAGCCGAACCGTGTCTGGGAGGGTTCCCACGAATGGTCCTCCTGTCTGTTCCGGAACCTTCTTCAGACCGCTGTTCTTCCAGGGTTCCTTGGTGTGGGGGTCTCGCTTGGGAGCAGCAGGGTCATTGAGTGGCCTCTGCTCCTGCCCTCGCTGCCCTCAGGGTCCCTTGGTCAGCGCAGGGCTTCCAGGGCAAGGGCATTGCCTCATGGTGCCCTGGTTTCCCAACCTCCGGCAGCGAGCGGCTGTCTGCTCGGGGTTGTCGGCGGGGCGGGAGGCGAGGCCGTCTGGAGAGTGTGGCCCCCGCCCCGGCCACACCGCTGGCCGCCAGGCACTTCCGGGCCTGCACCCTGGCTGTCTGGCGGCCGTGGTGGCCCTGTGTGGCCTGGAGACTGTCGCACGAGCGGCAGTGATGTGTCTCTTCCTAAGGATTGCGAAAGTCAGGGAGGGTTTCTCCACCGAGGGGGTTATGCAAGTTTTAACCGAAATGTTTTTTAGAAGTTTCTTTGTTTTGAGTGAAGACACAGAGGCTGAGTTATTTCCGTGAGGTCTGAGGTGGGGAGGAAGGCTGTGCTCCCCCGAGGCCGCCGGGTAGCGACATGGTGGTGCTGGGCACGCCTCGTGTTTGGCTCAGATGTGGGGGGCGGGCCGGAGCCGCGGGAGGAACAGGAAGTCATCGCTGGGGAGTGTGCGGGGAGTGGGGGCCGGCCGCCAGGTCTGGTGCGGTTTCAGTTGTCAGCCTTGAGTGGGGGCTGCCAGGGCCGGTGGGAGTGGAGGGGGCCCGGTGAGGCGTGTTCAGGTGCCTCAGTCCACTCAGGAAGCATCTAGTGCGGCCCCAGGGTGGTCGATAGAGGAAGGGGCAGCTCTGATGTGGCCTCTCTCTGGACGCAGGACGGGCTTCCTGAGGGCCCCACACTCGGAGCGGCCCAGGCAGTGTGCAGGAGCGCCCGGCAGGGTGGGGCCTCGCTGGGGTCCCAGGGTCCTGCGGCTTGGAGTGACCGGCGCTCCTGCCTGCTCGTTGACTGGAGCGAAGAA